CAGAGACCATAATATCCTGAGTATCCTCCCAACCTTAAAGATCTCCATGGAAGTAAAGCTACACCCAGGGAAAACTCAGTGGCTTGAGGGGTTCAGAAAGCAAAGTTACAGCAGGCAGCAGCAGCTACTTCTGAAACTTTCAACACATATTCCAGCCTCTCAAAAAACGCCCAAGGATTAACAGCTACCACCAAAAAAGGCATTCGCTGACTCATGAAAATAGTAAATGGACTCGAGGTTTTTGCCCACTGCCTGCAAATCCCTGGGTGGAACTACCAGGAGTTGCAGTCAAAGTCCCCTTGGATAAACCGAATTGCAACATCTACCTAAAACTCGGTTTCAAAAACAACAGACTGAGATCCCCAGACAGGAAGCAGTCACAAGTGTCTGTCCCAGCAGACGTACAGGGGGAGAAGTTTAGGAGTCGCTGCAGCCGGACTGCAGCCTTCAGCAGTCAGCCTCTGAGGGCCTACCAAACCCTCACCTTCCCACTGCCTGATTTTAGCGCCACTGTTCTATCACTTTCCAGTAGTCAGACATTAAACATGATCCCTTGGGAAACAAGGCAACCTCTCTCAAACACATGCACAAACCCCAGCAACAAGTGCTGAGACACAGCAGAGGAGCCGGGCATGAGCAGGGAAGGGCAGAATTCCCACGAATTCTCAGGCAGTCATAGATCTTCTAAAGCAAGAAAAACGATAGGGGAATTGAGGACCCTTACTAAACATCAACGATTTTAAAGCTACTAGCGTGGCGAGAGACTGTCACAGAGGGATACTGGTGCAGGGGTGATGTGTGAAGGGAACATACACTGGAGAGGTATGAAACTGTACTCCTGAAATATACATACTCCTGTAAGCTAACACTATCTGAATGAAAGTCAAACAAAACACAGAAAACTTTATGTAAATAAAACACACTAGAGATGTAAAGCATTTAGATCTCTTGTTGTATGTGCATTGTAAGCTGCACAATAAAACTTTTTAAAGGCATAAAAGTCCCCACCTTTAATCAAGTATTAAAAAATGTTTAACACTTCCCTGACTTGATAAGTATTATCTGGCACAAAGGTAAAGTCTAAATACCACTCTCCCATTTTCCATCTGTCCTAATCTCTGAAGAGCCCATGTCATTTGACAAAACTGCTCTCTGTTAGACAAACTGATTTAAGGAGGCATCAATGGTTTAAAAAGGAGAATGTTTGTTTTACAGATACGACGCCACCATGCCTACAGTCCCTATTACCAGACGGATTCTTCTCCACCACACAGAGCCTTTGCCCGTCAGCTACAGCAACCTGCCTTTACCTGAGTTCTGAGGCTAGCGGCTGAAGTCTGGTTCTGCTCTTCTTGCTGTTCCTTGAACAGTTTCTGTCGCCTTATTTCCTTCCAGACCACACACCTGGCATTTGTCTTTCTCCTGACTTACAGGGTGTCATAAGCCCCTCCAGTCTAGAGCAAAAGGCAATCTTGAAACTTTTCTTACAACCTGTCTTCCTATATGTGTATGTACCACATCACATTTGTCCATCTGGCTACTGTTGGCAGCAGTGGGCTTCCAAATCACAGTGGATACAGAAGTAAATACTGTAGCACTGTCCTCCCGTTGTTCATTGATTTGCTTGAGCAGGCTGAGTAGCAGGTAGCTTGCCAGGCTTTGCCAGGCAGGCGAGATACTCTTGGTAGTTTGCTGGGTTCTCCGAGAGGCGTGGAGGAATCGAACTCGGGTCGGCTGAGTCGGCCACGTGCAAACGCTCTACCCACTGTGCTATCGCTCCAGCCCACAGAAGTAAATACATATTTTTAAATTAGTATTTTGTGTTCTTGGGCTAGACACCCAGAAATGATTATACCATACTGTAATTCTGGTTTTATTTTTTTTAGAAGTCCCAGATACCACTGTAACTGAGGGTTCCTTTCTCACTGCATCCCATCCAGCATTTGCTATTCCCGCGCCTCCGTGACACATCACTCTTTGATTTTCATTCAGGTGTAAGATGATCTTATTGTTATTTCAAATTTTTGTTTCCCTAGAAATCAATGAAGATAAACACTGTTTTCAGGTGTGTACCCTCCCTCACTGTCTTCCTTGATACAATGTTTATTCAGCTCTTTTCCCTACTGTTTCCTATTGGCTTGGCTGTTACTGACTTGTTGATTTAGTTCTGCCAATTCAAGACTTTAATATGACATTATATACTATTACATGCAACTTAAGACAGGAAGCAGGTATGAAATCAGTTTCTAAGAAGTGATGGAAAAGTTCAGGAAGCTCTCAGGAATGTTTCTCTCTTCCATCTGTTTGGATTCTTATACGTGTTCTTGGCCCTGCCCAGCCTCCATCCAGAAAGGCACTTTTAATTTTTCTAGCAGTGATTTATTAACCCTGAAACACACACACAAGCGAAAACAGACCCGGCCACCTGTTGCACCCAGGCCTAAAAGGAATTCCAGAAGTGTGGGGAAAAACTTCTGAAGACTTAGAGCAGGCAGGCAGTAGCTCTGGGTAAGAGGTACTGAACTACCACGGGCTGATCAGTTTCAGAGTCCCACCAAGTGGTGGGAAAAGAGAGTTAGAAAGAAAACAAGCACAGAATAACAGCAAACAAGCTGTGTCTATCTGCCGTGGTTCAAATAAGCCTTGCATACAAGATGGGTCTATAGCCCACTGGACGGTCTAGAGTAAGTGAAAGGGAGCAGATGGAAAATTCGTAGAAAATCAGCCTCTTCCAAGGTATTCTACTTTGCTTTGATGGCTAACTACCTTGGCTGTATCGCAGGAATCCAGTACTCAAACTCACCAAAGAAACATAATACACTGCAACCTGCTTTCGTTTCTCATCAAGTAGAAGTTTACATGGGAGTTAGACTTACAGATCTGCTTGAAGGCTGGAATCTATGCTACCCAAGACTTTCATCATACCATTCAGTTCTGAAATTGGCAGAATTTTGAAGAGGCATTAAATGCTTCAGGGAAAAAAAAAGTGGCTCCTTCACTGAGGCCTCACAATAAAAACTTATTTTAAGAAAAGTCACCCAAGGTGCCACAGAATAACCCCCAACCTGACCCCTCCCAACCCGCCCATAACTCTGATCTTATCTTTACTCTGTAGGCTAGGACTAAAACAGTAGGCAAAAGAGTACAAATTGGCAGGAGCACAGGGCTGCCAGCCAGACTCTTGGGCCCAGCTCTAACTTGTAGCTGGAGGACTTGGGGCAAGTTAATTTCCCTACTGTCACTGTCACTGTCCTCTCATTGTTCATCAATTTGCTCGAGGGGGCCCAATAACGTCTCCATTGTGAGACTTATTGTTACTGTGTTTGGCATATCAAATACATCATGGGTAGCTTGCCAGGCTTTGCTGTAGAGGCGAGATACTCAGCTTGCCGGGCTCTCAGAGAGGGGCGGAGTAATCAAACCCTGGTCAGTCAGGTTGGCTGCGTGCAAGGCAAATGCCCTACCCGCTGTCGGGTAGTGAGCTATGGGGATCATGTTACTGTGCAGGACAAAAAGACTGATGTCAGACCCTCAGCCTGTCCCCTGATGGAAGATCAGAGATGTAAAGTGACAGGCCAGCACAGGGCCCCTAGTTCAACACCCAGGCGGGAACACCTCCACAGAAGCCTGAGTGCAGAGCTGTGCTCCTGCATCCCTGGAGCAGAAATGAGGCCTCTGCCAACTGCTGTCCCCGCCACATGCTAACAGAACTCCAATCCCATGGCAGGGTTCTCGGCGATGGATATTAAAACACTGAAATTAACTTTGCCTAAAATTTCCTAGAAGCTGAATGAGTCACTCCTTTAATAGGAGTAAAATGTCAGGGCTGCACAGAACCCCAGCCCCAGACGTCAAGCTGAAGCTGGAGGACATTATTCAACATAATGCTTTAAGTACAATATATCACTTTTCATGCCTTTGTTTTCCTGTAATAGAAAAAAAATCAGAAAGGGGGTTACAGTGGGCAAGGAGGGATGTCACAGAGAATGTAACCGCTAAATTCTAAACATATTAAGGGGGCTCTGAACACCTCTTTTTGCTCTCGCTTCGGAGGGTTTGTCTTTTTCCCAACTGTATTCTCCAATCTAATCAACAACCACATTAAAAACGCTTAAGTCCAGATAGAGAGCTAGCCCAAACTCTTATTTTAACTATTATTTATTTTTCTAGGTGCAAGGCCTTGTTGAAAAAAATGGGAACACGTGTACGCAGCTGGGTTAATACCCCCTCGCTTGCGAAATGCAGTGTTCTGAAAAGACTTCTATCTCCACAACGGAATTTGTCCTCACTTTTCAGAAGTCAAGCAAATTCTGCAATGAATTTTCAGCGAAATCCAACCCATTCACCTGAACCTACGAAAGAACAATGGGTCAGGAAACTGTTCATTTAAATCTTCACAGAAGCGTATGGGAAAACGGCACTGTCCGGGCGCCCGGGTTCCGCGGCGCGGGGCCAGCTGCTGACCACCGGCTCGGACAGTCCATCCCGAGCCGAGACACTCGGCCCGGGACACGGGCTGGGATCGCGGCACGGCCACGCGCCCCGCAGCCCGCGGCGTTCCCGCAACTTTAAATGAAAGCCGGGAAGCTCCCCGGAACCCGCTCCCGCGCCCGGAACCGGCTCCGCTACCCGGCCCGGCCCGGCTCCGCGTCCCCCGGCCTCGCTCCCGCTTCCTCTTAGCCCGGCTCCGCGTCCCCCGGACCGGTCCCCACGTCCCCCCGGTCCGGCTCCCACGTCCCCCGACCCGGCTCCCGCGTCCCCCCGGCCCGGCTCCCGCGTCCCCCCTGCCCGGCTCCCGCCCCAGCCCGGCCAGCCCGGCTCCGCGCTCCCCCGGCCCGGCCAGCGCCGAGCCCCGCGGAGCCCACGCGTCCAGCGAACTTTCCCTCCCGGGCGCCGTGGGGCCGGCGGGTCGGTGCCAGGCTCAAAGCGCGCCGCGGGGTCCGTCCCTGCGCCCCCAGCAGCAGGTGCCCGGCGGGGTCCCCGGCGGGGTCGGGGCTCACCTGCTGGAAGGAGCCCTCGAGTCGCGGGCTCCTGGGGTAATCCAGGTGGCCGCGGTCCAGCATCAGGTAGAGCGAGAAGATGACCACGCAGAAGATCGCGCTGCCGAACACGGTGAACTGGCGGCTCAACTTCATGGTGCGGCGGAGGCCGGCGCGGGTGCCGGGCAGTCCGGAAGGGGCGCGCGGGGCGGCGCGGGGGCCGGCAGGGGGCGCGGGCTCCGCGGGACTCTCCGCCCCGCCCGCTTCCTGCCGCCGCCCGACCCGGCGCTGCAAAAGTTTCTCGGTGCCGGGCCGAGCGCGGCGACTCCCCGCGGCGGGGCGGGCTGGGAGCCCGCCGGGCCTCGCAACTCAGCCCCGGACGGCCGGGCCGCGCCCTCCCCGCCGCCCGGCCGGCCGGCCCGCTGCGCCCTAGGCGCACGGAGCGGAGGGTCCCCGCGCCCTGCCTCCCGGAGCCCGCCGCCTCCGGGCCCGCCGCGCGCAGAGAGCCGGAGCAGCGGCGGCGGCGGCGGCGGCGGCGCGGCCGGGAAGGGAGCAGCCCAGAGCCCAGCCGCGGCGCCCGCAGCCCAGCGCCTCCCTGCGCCCCGCTCGGAGATGGCGACGCCGGCAGCCGCGGCCGTTGGGTCAGCGCGCCCGCACCCGAGCCGGGCCTGGCCGCGCCCCTCCGACGCCGGCTGGAGGCGGGGCCCGCGGCGGCCAATCAGGGCCCGGCCGGTCCCGCGCGCCCCGCGCCCGCCAGCCCCGCGCCCGCCTGGCGAGTCGGGACCCGAGCGGCCGCCGGCGCCGCGCCGCCTCTAGGCCCGGATGGCTCTCGGGCGGGGCAGAGGGAGAGGGTGGGCGCCACCCCCGGCGCGCGCAGGGGGGCTCTGCACTCGGGAATCGCTCCTGGCGGGGCTCGGGGGTCGAACCCGGGTCGCGCGCGCCAGGCGAGCGCCCTGCCCGCCGGGCTACCGTTCTGCCCCGTCTGAGGACGTGCCCGGGAAAGCCGGCGCCCGGACGCAACGGGACGAGGAACCCTGTGACAGATGCGGACTCCTCGGCCGCAGGATCCACGAAAGGAACCTGAAAGGTGATGCTTGGGCCTATCCCACACTCGGCCTTTGCCTCTGCTCCGTGGACAAGGATCGGACCTTTGGAGAGGTGCCACAGGGTACGACGAGCACTGCAGGAGATCCCACCCGGGCCGCCAGCCCTGTGAGCTACCCCTCTGGCCCCAGGTTCTGTTTGGGTTGGGCCGGGTTGGGTTTGGGCAGTGCCAGTCCAGCCCAGAGCCTCCCACGCGCTGCCAGAGCTCTGCAGCTGAGCCGACGCCTCGCTCGTCTTCTTGGGTACAGGGTGCACAGCCTGCGGGGATGAAGCTCGCCGCCACCGGGCACTGCTGGCTCCCTTCGGTAGACCTGGAAGGGCGCTGGCTTTACTCAGAGCGAGCTGCTGGAGCGCTTCGAGCCTCAGTTTCCACTCGTGCTTCTGTTGCGGGGTCAGCAGCAGTCCCATGACTCTCCCAGCTTGTCTCCTAGACACAAGCTTTCTAGCAAACTTAGGGCAGATTTCCCTCGGAATGTGCAGGTGTGACATCACAGTGCCTTCTTTGCATCCAGAGAGGCAAGCTATCCCCTCTCTGGAGATGCCAAGACAGTTCTTGGGCAACTGTCTCCCTACCCAGGTTGGTTATTTCTTCTTCCTAGTTGCTGTGTTCTCCACAGCCTAGCTTAAGCTAACTGAATGTGGAGGTCACTAAAAGTCTTAAAATTTTGCTTTAAAATGTCTCTGTAATTTAGTTACCATTAGATTTTCCATTAGATTTACCACTAGTTTTTCAAACCAGTTTTGTATACCTGTATACCTCATATCATATAAAAGTTTCTCTGGCAAAAAGAAAGGGGGGAGGGGTACGTGAATAGAAAAGATTTAAGAAGCGCTGGTCTACAATGGCCTTCTTGCAACAGACTCCATCATTACTCTACTTGCATGTAATGGTTAATAATTATTTATATTAAGCTTCATCTGTTCCAGAACTTGTCCCTAGGAGAGGATAAGGAAGGAAGCTGGATTGATTTTTGCCTTTGGGCTTGAGTTTAGTGTTTGTCCTGTCCCCTTGCCAAAGGAAAACCAGATGCTGGTAATGTTTGCTTGCAGGACACCCTATCCCCTGCTGCTCTGATGCAACTACTGTCACATGTGCCTTATGGGCTCAAATGGCAGCGACACTTGACTTTTTATGATTTAAGGTGATTAGAACAAATATGACTTAAATAACTCTAGAATCATGGTGAAAGGCGGCAGTAACAAGCACAGTTCAGAGCTATGATGTGAAATCCGAAGCTTCCTTAAAAATTCTGAGGAGACTCCTGTAAGGTAGAAATGACACTTATTACTGAAAATCAAACAAATTGTAAAATTTCAAATTATAAATTACAGCTGCCACTGAATCACCGATATGACATATTCCTCATAAAAAATGGTATTGATTGTTAAATAAGTTACACAAAAGTGGGATGGCTTGGGTCCAGCTAAAACTGACGGTCTTGAATCTGAATCTGCTAGTGGAAGGAAATTGTACTGTGGAATTTGAGGAGGAGGTTAGACTCCTCTGCTTAAGACCCATGTGGTACTGGAGGAGTCCTACAGGGCTTATGGTGCTTGCCTCACATTGCAGCTGACCTGGTTTGGTTCCCCAAACCTCAGGGTTACCTGACCACCACAGGTGTAGACCCCCCCCCCAAAAAAAAAGAAATCAAAAAATCATCCACACAACAAAGCTTATGACAATGTCTTGGTAGGCAGATGCCTTTGGAGGAATTTTTAGTCTCCTCAATTTCAGGGTTTAGGCAAATTTCTTTTATAGAATCTACAAACTCACTCCTGGCCTGTGTTCATGCAAAGACTAGAAGACACTTATGTCACTGAAGAATTAACGAAAGGAAAATATGCATCTTTGGAAATCTGTGCATTTTATCACTAGAGATCATGTATGATAAGAGAAGATGCCACTATGACATTGGTGTCCTGATTTAAATAGGGATGGCAGGAACCAGAATAACAGAAACCACGCAATACTTAAGCAGCAAATAAAATTTGGTTTATCTGCCTTAATGGGCAGTGAGAATAGGGAATTCAAATGTCTTGGCCCACAGAGAGTCTATAGCAATGAAATAGATAAGGACTTTAACAGATTATTGATTGAGATTTATGTCAGGGAAAGCACTGTTCTGCATCACCAAAATCTAACTTGAGTGACCCTTGTGAGCAATCAGGCTTTCTGTATACAGAACTAAATCTGGACTGAAGAAAGTGTGTGCTGCCTTTGGAAAAAAAACCTTCAGCAGTACCACATATTGCAAATGTTCTACAACCAAGATTTGTTGCAGTTGACAAGAGTGATGGGGCTTGGAGAAAAGAAAAATATGCAGTTCTTCTAAAAATTTACTACTTCAGGATTGATGTTAATTCCAGGAGACCAAAAAGTAAAAGGAGGCGCTGGAGAGACAATACAGCAGAAAAGGTGCTTGCCTTGCATCAGGGGACCCTGGTCTGGCACCAACACCCTACATGGTCCTCAGAGCGCCATCAGGAGTGATTCCTGAGAGCTGAGCCAGTAGTAAGCCCTGAGCACAGCTGGGTGTTACTGAAAAACAAAGGAACCAGCAGTATGGTCATCTACCAAAGTTGGTGATTATCTTGGCTCATACATTCAAGTTTGGTCATTAGTGCAGTTGATCCAACAACCGTGTGATTATTTTCTGTCCCTTTACTTAGATAAACTTACCTGACAGTATCCTCACATTGGCCTTTTTATCATTGAGAAGTGTCTTTATAACAAGAAGAACTAAATAGAAATGCCTAGAACTTTCAGGCTCTTCCCAGATAGTAATTGAAGCAGCTAATAAAGAAAGACTAGGACTGGGTGTATCTGTCATATTCCCATCTAACTCAGCAGCGCAGAGGTCCGTGAGGCAGGGCCAAGCAAGCCAGATAGGGAAAAGCTGTGTTTATATTCTCCTGCCATGTGATCACAGCAAATCTACTCCCCAATTGGACTTAATCTACAATGAAACCTATCTGAGCCCTCAACAAACAGAATTCACAGGAGGGTCCAAAAGACAGTATCTAAATGGATTAGATTCAGAGAAGCAAAACACTCCCATAAAAGAAATCTTGAGGTGAATAACAAGGCTTGGTCAGGAAGAGATGGTTATCATGGGAACCTATATCCTCAAAGGGCCTGATGTGGCATTGCACTTAGCACCCAGCAATTCTACAAGATAATACTGTCAACATTGGAATGGAGGCAAGACACACTGCAGTACAAACAAGGGTCAGAGTCCCTTGGAGGCCCCAACTTTAGGATCTCTACAGTGGATGCCATACAGAGCTCACATTTATTCTCAAAAGTACACCTTGCTACTCTCTTCTTCCCCACATTTAATGATTTACAGGTGTGCTGCTGCTTTCCATTGGAATTTATTTTACTATCATAGATGAGGACTCTTATAGAACTGATTACTACTACAAATATGATAACTTACCTGGGCAGAATATTCTTGATTGAAGATATTTCCTATTCAGCACATTGAATATATTAGGCCAATCCATCTGGTTTGAAGACGTTCTGTTAAAAATTTGATGATGGTTTGTGGACTCACAAACCTCGCATGTGACTTTTGTTTTTCTCTTCCCCTTAGAATTGTTTCTTTTATTTTTGCATTTTACTTATTTCCCATTTTACTTGGATGTAAGTGTACAATCCTAGAGTTAAGGCTCAAAACAAAATAAGAGAAGTGAAAAGAGACAAATGACCATGACTGAGCAAAAGCAGAAAACAAAATACAAGGGAGGATAATAAGAAAAGAACAAAGGGCCAGAGCGACAGTACATCAGGGAAGGGCTTGCTCTGCATGTAGCTGAATGGGTTTAGTTTACAGCATTCTATGTGGTCAACTTAATAAAGGAGGAGAAAAACTTGTACAATTAACATTATTAAATCACTGTAAATAAAAATAGAATGCAAAGGAAAATGGGAAGATATTCCAGGCTAATGGAATGGAAGAATTAACACTGTTAATTTTTGCTGCTCCTAGAAAGATTTCATATAATCCCTATCAAAAATTCTAGGGATTACATTAATTGCATTCTTTTAATGGACCTTTAATAGCCAAAAGCAATATTGGAGAAACAAACAGCATCGTGTTCCCCAGTTTTGAACTCTTCTACATAGCTATAGTACTGGAATAAAATGATATACAGATGAATGTAATAGAATTGAGAGCCCAGAAATAATTCCTAATATATGTGGATAGTTTTTTTCATAGTAAAAGAAGCCAAGAGCATAAAATAAAGGGAAATTTCTTCAACCATTGTTTTTGGGGAAAAATGGACATGGGCAGTCACAAGCAAAATAATGAAATTGGATCACTATTACACAAAAAGTAAAAGTTCACTCAAAATGCTTAAATACTTAAATAACCAAAACACAACCATGATATATCTTGAA